TGCCTTTCCACTTAACCAATATTCAGTAAGAATTCAGATGCGTCAACACAAAGCTCTGAATTCCCTGCTTAAACATCTCCACTTCTCGTTCCTTCTTCAAGATGTTGTTCAAAATGAGTCTCTTTCACAAACCTTTCGTTTGCTGTTATCCCCATCAATGTTGCAGGGACACATCGAGCCATTGCCACGGCAGTGGAAGTTTTAATTAGACCATCAGCATCTGGAAATCAAATGTTAAGTCCAGCATTTTGCCGCATCATTATCTGTCAGAATCAGTAAAGTAAATTAATTAATTGTTGATAGCTTTGTATGTCTCAGCTCTAAAATCTGCAGGAATCTGTCACTTAAAGGAAAAAAACAACATAATCATCACTCTGGTTCTAAGCTCAGTGACAGAGTGCAGAACAACCTCAATTTCCTTGCAACGTCAGACTGCCGGACTATTAAGCCTTTCCTAAACAGTGTGACATCTGAAAAAGAATTTGCTGAGCAGGAGGAAAAGGCTAAAGAATTTCTACCTTAGCTGTCTCAGGCATATTGTCTACATCTCTTGTCAAGGCAACTGCACTCATTTTAGAAACTGCTATTTACGTGAACATATGTTCATTATTAAATCAACGTTATTGCAGTGCCTTTGTTCTAAGGGCAGATGATAGCCCTGTGCCAAAAGAACGTTTGTTGAGTTACCTAGCCAGTGGGCTACATTGTTTGATGTTCATGCCTCCAATAAATAACATATGTGTGAACAATATATAAAAATAATAGGTATTGATACAATCACATAGGACAGTCACCAATGGCCATCAACACCCTAAGCTGACTGTACAGGGAGAGATTATACGAACATGAGAACATGAGAACTCGGAACAGAATAGTCAATCCAGTTCCTTGGACATGCTCGGCTACTTAGTATGGTAATGCTGACCTCATCTCGGCCACAACTCCACTTTCCCGCCCTCTCTCCGCAGCCCTCCTACACGTTAATTATTAAAATTAGTTATCTCATCCTTTAGTGTTCATAATGTGCTAGCATCCAACGCACTCTGGCGAGTGAATTACACGGATTCACGATCTTTTGAGAGAGGTAATTTGTCCTCATTTCTTTTTTAAAACGGCTATCCCTGAATCTGAAAAAAAGAGACCTCTTTCAATTGGGTAAAGTCTAAAGTTCAACTGGACAAGTAGAGTTCCCAGAGAAAACAAACGCCAACAAATCATAGAAGCCCTACAGTGTGGAAACAGGCCCTTCGGCCCAACAAGTCCACACCGGACCTCAGAGCATCCCACCCAGACCACCCCTGTAACCCACCTAATCTACACCTTCCTGAACACTACGGGCAATTTAGCATGTCCAATCCACCTAGCCTGCACATCTTTGGACTGTGGGAGGAAAGCAGAGCACCCGAAGGAAATCTACGCAGACACGGGGAGAAATCCTCTTCCTTTTCAGCCCACTTCCTTCATCAATTGACAAATGCAATAGAGATTGACATGCGAGTTTAGTTTGATTGGACAGTGTTTAACTTGAGCATGTGATGTCTCTTTCAAGGGATACATATTGTTCACAATAGGAATGTGTCAAACGTGTATTCTGAATATAGAAGTTGTTCGACTGAAAATGTTTAAAAAACCTGTTTGTTTAATTATTATAATTAATGTCAGTCTCCATGCAATTGAATTGTACCACTGGAGGATTGTCGTCTCTATTAAAAAGGAACGCTGTTGTAGTTCAGGTTTAAAAGGAGTGTTGTCTCCGTGCACTCAGAAAAGGACCAGCAGATTCACAGATATGCACCAGTGGATGATAAATTATTACATTGTTGACTTCAAAAGGTATACTGTCCTGCGCTTGCTCGTATTGGTATTTCTGGTAAGTCTTCAAGTCCAGTTATTAATTCCACAGGCTATATTTGCATGCACTAATGTTCATGACATTTTAAGCTAATAAATACATCTATTGTAATATTCGTTGAATGTCTTTTATTCTTGGCGTCATGTTGAAACAATTTCACTTATTTTAATGTTTAGACATCCGTCCGTCCTTGTGAGCTCAAGGACTGCCACCACATTCCGCATTCCTCCCATTTGAAGTTTTCGTCTTCAGATGAAAAGACTCTTGAAATTCTTGAAACAAAATCGGAATCAGAAATCCGATTCTGCTTGATGCATGTAATAATTCAGAATTTTGGAGCCTGTGTGAACTAGATCACATAAAGAAACTGAAATATGTTCCCTGAAGATTCAGAGTTCAGATCATCCAGCTCACATTCTGCCACCTCTGATGCCATGTCATATTTAATTTTCCAACTGGTGTCTTGTTAGAATAGAGGTGGATAATGATCCAAAATACGTTGATGTAACTCGTTCGTTTTGGATGGTCACCTCTCCAGTCATTTTTTTCGTCCATCACTGAATGATATGCAACATGTCACGGGTGAAGAAATATCTCAGTCAATAATGCAGATAACTTTTCATGCATTCCCTCTCCCATTTTTTGAACCTGCCATGCCATGCTCAATATTTGCTGCATGACGCAAGCCTTTACACTGGAACATGGAGGAAACTGTTAAATTGCAACAATGTTCAACACAAATTTTTTAAAAAGTACTATTCGTCACAGGTTCTCCCATATATCAATTTCCTTTTGGTTACGTTTTTTTAAAAATTATTAAACACTAATCATTGTCCCCACCAACCATCATGGTCATAGGCCCAATCTAGGATTGGTTTTAGGATAAGACTCAACCCACTTTGTCAAAATAATGGCAATGTAACGTCAGAAATCTGCTGAGGTCAGATGAAATCATCTGTTGTATTTCGTTTTATGTCAAAACAAGTCGATTCTGGAAATGCAAAGCCTGCCACTAAAGGCAGTCAGACCGTTGATCAGTATGCTCTTTTTGGAAAATCTTTGCCACACCTGCGGCTATAACGTTTGCATTTTCTTCTTAAAACCACAAGTCGGGGTGATTTCAAGCTCCTGGTCACAAGTGGTGTCACCGCCTATATTGACGATCAGCTGGAGAATCTTACCTCTCAAGCCTGAGTTTGGGGGCTGTCATCTCCTTTGTTACAGTAACCCTCTGGTCATGCCATCTGATCACTTGGCACAGCCTTCTTCCCCATGTCATTGGGGAAGCACCATCTTCCATCATCTGTGCACGCACGATCCAATAAAGACTTTATTAATGGTTTATCAGCAACATCCTAGATAGGATCGCTCCCTGATTGTTTTGTCCTTACATTTAATGCTAAGGATATATGGTAGATTTTGGAGCTCTATGTTTTTGAAAAAATGCTGTTGGCAGTTATAAGTTGTGTAAGCTTAGCTGCCATTCAACAAAGCACAAAGGATACAGGTCAGAATATGGACATATATATATGTACTAACGTGTTTATTTTTCTTTGTCTATTTCATTAGTCAACCAATGTTCATGCATGCTTTTTCTGTTGTGATGTGGTAAGTAGGTTGGCAACAGGCTCTTTGCCTGTCATCATTGATCCAATATAATGTAATGTACGATCTGCTTGCAATCATGTGTTGTTGAGTCTGGACACAGGTAGAAACATAAGGACCTTTTCTTTCATGACAATTTTCTTGAAACCATTGATGAGGGTGTACATGACAGACACCTGTCCCAGATTATTCATACCCATGTTGAGTTAGTCTTCTGACTGTGTAAATAGAGTACCACATCATTAACAAACAGACATTACTTGACCAGAACATTTAACTTTCAGCCTTTTTTACTTGAAGAGTTTCTCATCTAATCATTCCTCCAGTTACATTCCTTTCATATCAACATTGTTAGTGTAAGTCAGTAACACCAAGATAAATAAACCATACAAAATATAAGCAAAATAAAATATCATTGAATATCAAATAACTTTTTTGCATCAATAAATAATTACTAAATAATTAGTAAAAGAGCCTAAATTAGGATTTCCTAATCTACATCTCTTCTCCACAGTCAATCTAGTGACAACTGTGATCCTATCACATGGAAAGTGTAGCAAATCCAAATGTTTTACTTCTACTAGTATCCGTAGTAGGAAAGGATTTACTGATTATTATCATCAACATGATAATGGTGGGCATTCCAGTAGTTCATTATAAACAATGTATTACTATATAGTTTATTCCCCACATGAATTATTGATGAGGCCATGGATTATACAGCCACATATCCAATTCATCATCACCTTCATCCCCATTACACAGGGAAAAATTAATCTGTGGCTGTGTGAGCAGTGAGTGTACTACGATGTTTATTGGATATGACAACAATGAAAATTCCTAATGATATTGCAAGAAAGTCATTTTTAAGTATATGAGAAAATGATTAAGAAACTCGGACGTTTATGTTTCAAAATTGAGAAGGCTGAAAAGTGATTCAATCATGGTTCTTAAATGATGGAAACTTGTTTTAGTGTTGGCAGAGAGGTAAAGTTTCATCCTGTGTAGGGAGCAGTGGGAGGTCCAAGCAGCACAGAATGAGTATAAAACTAACTGAGCTTAGGTTGCACGGTCGCTGCGAAAAAGTTGGATTGACGTCACATGGAAGCTGTGACCTGATTGGCTGGTAGGAAATTTGCACTAAATTTGAAAGAAAAATACGGCAAAGAAGTACTAATAAATTAATTAACTCATTTATATACCTTAATAAAATGATTATCCACGTAGAGATGGCTGACCAAGTAATGTGCTGTAGCTGTATGATGTGAGACAGGCAGTTCCGACTGGGAGCTGCAGTAACCACATCGGCAGCAAGTGGAACTTGAGGAACTTCGGCTCAGAGTTGATGACCTGAAATCTGAGCTTCAAGCACTGCAGCACATCCGGGAGGTGGAGGATTTTTTTTTTTAATCAGGAGGTGCTTACACCTGGTAGATTAATAGCTTCAAATTCAGTCAGTGATCATGGAGAGCAGTGTATAATTGCAAGTAAGGCAGCTCGGGGCATCCTGAATTCAGGAACGGAGGAAGCTCAGGGCTTGACCATGTCGAACAGATATGAGGTATTTTCCCCCAGTGAGCATGAGGAAAAGGGCTTTGAGGAAGATGAGCCAGCTGACCACTGCATCGGGGTACAGAAGGCCATTCACTGGGTGGAACAAAAAGACAAGTGATAGTTGGAGGGGATTCTCTTATTAGGGCGATTGATCGCATCCTTTGCTAGCAGGACCAAAAGTCCCGCATAGTGTGTTGCCTGTCCAGTTGAGGGACATCTCTGATCTGCTTGAAAGGATATTGAATCAGGAGGTTGAACAAGCAACATAGGCAAGGCTAGGAAGGAGGACTTGTTTAGGGATTATCAAGCACTAGAAAAGAAATTAAGGAACAGGACCTCAATTGTTACGATCTCTGGAGTACTACCCGGTCCATGTGCAAATTGGCTTAGGGATAAGAAAATTCGGGACCTAAATACGTTGCTAAAGGATTGGTTGTGGGAAAGAGGAGTTCCATTTAAATTCATGGGGCATTTACATCTGTTATCGAACAGGGGGGATCTGTACCTTTGGGACATTCGGACCTGAAATGATGTGGAACCAGTGTTCTAGAGAAAAGCATACATAGGGTGGTCGCTAGGACTTTAAACTAGTGAATTTGGGGAAAATGAAGGGGAAAACGACTGGAAATATCATGGTAAATAGACAGGAAAGCAGCAGGTTAACAGGAGGGTTTAACTACATCAAAGACTATGAAAGAAGTTTTTAAAAAATGAAAAAAAAGTCGAGATATTATTAATGGAGACGTTAGAATTCAGAAAAAACAAATTATGAAAAACAAGCATAAATGGACTTTGTCTGAATGTTTGCAGCATTCCAAAAGAAAATGGTAGATGAGTTAAGGGCAGAAATTACGTGAATGTATCTGATTTAGTAGCCATTACGGAGAGATGGTTGCAGGATGGTAACAACTGGGAATTAAATATCTACGGGTATCAGACTATTCAGAAGGGCAGACAGGAAGGTAAGGGGGAATGATGTAGGTCTGATATTTAAGGATGACTTCAGGGCTGTAGTGAGAGATGATATAGGTTATATGCAGAGTAAGTTTTAATCAGTTTGGTTAGAAATTAAATATTCTAAGAAGAAAAAGTCGCTGATAGGCGTAGTGTTTAGGCCACAAAATGCTAACATCGCAATAGGGCGAGTAATTAACAAAGAAATAACTCGTGTCTGCAAAAATGGTACAGCAATTATCATCGGGACTTTAATCTGCATGTCAACTGGTTGAACCAGGTCGGTCAAGGCAGCCTTGGGGAACTGTTCATTGAATGTATCGATGGCAGCTTTCTTAAATAGTATGTAATGGAACTGACGAGGGAGCAAGCTATCCTAGATCTGGTCCTGTGTAATGAGGCAGGAATAATTAATGATCTTATGGTTAGAGATCCTCTTAGAAGGAGTGAGCGCACTTTTGTTGAATTTAAAATAGAGATGGAAAGTGAGAAGTTAAAAGCCAATACCAGTGCCCCGTGCTTAAACAGATGAAACTGCAGTAGGATGAGGATAGAATTTGCTAAAGTAAACTGGAACCAAAAAATTTATGGTAGGAAAGTTGAGGAATAGTGGAGGATTTTCAAACCAATTTTTCAAAGTGCTCAGCAAAAGTACATACCAGATAAAAGGAAGGACTATAGAAAAAAGGGTAATCAGCCATGGATGTCTGTGGAAATAAGGGAGGCTGTCAAATTGAAAGATAAGGCATACAAAGTGGTGAAACCCAGTTGGAAGCTGGAAGATAGGGAAAACTTTAAAGGTCAACAGAAGGCCACAAAAAAAATCCATAAAGAAAAGGAATATATATAAAATGAGAGTAAACTAGCTCAAAATATAAAAACCGATAGCAAAAGTTTCCACACATACATAAAATGAAAAAGAGTGGCTAAGGCAAGGATTGGCCCTTTACAGGATGAGAACAGGAATTAATAATGTGAAATGAGGAAATAGCTGAGGTATTGATCAGGTATTTTGTGTCTGTCTCCACAGAGGAGGACACGAATAAAATTCCAGTAATTGATGTCAAAGAGACTAAGGTAGGTGAGGGCCTAAAAACGATCACTATCACGAAAGAGGTAGTGCTGGGCAAGCTAAAGATGTATTGGTCTCCTGCCCCTGACAGAATGCATTCCAGAGTACCTAAAAACGTGGTGGGAGAAATAGCAAGTACACTCGTGGCTATTTTCCAAAGTTTGCTGGACTCTGGAGCAGTTCTAGCAGATTAGAGAACAGCAAATGTGGCGTCACTGTTTAATGAAAGGAGGTAGACAAAAATTGAGGATTGTAGGCCAGTTAGCTTAACTTCTAAAGGGGGAAATTTCTTGAATCTACCAGCAAGGGGTGGGGGGGTGGTGGAGAAAAGCAATACATCGAGATAGAAATTGTCACATTGGGCAGATGCTGCAGGGGTTCATGAAGGGCAGTTCATGTTTAACTCATTTCCTGGAATTTATGAACGCGGTCAGCAATGGGGACCCAATAGATGTGATGTATCTAGATTTCCAAAAGGCATTTGGTAAAGTTCTGTACAAAAAGATGCTGCATAAGATGAAGGTGCAAGGCCTTACAAGCAATGCATTCATGGGGATAGAGGATTGGTTAACTAACAGGAAGCAAAGAATGGAGATAACTGGTTGGTAATCAGTGTCTAGTGGTGTGCCTCAGGGATCATTGTTGGGACCACATCTGTTTTCAATTTACACAGATGCTTTGGAGTTGGGGACCACGCGTCATGTGTGAAATTTGTGATGATACTAAGATAAATTATGGAACAAAGCGTGCAGAATCTAACTGGGGCGGCATGGTGGCTTAGTGGTTAGCTCTGCTGCTTCTGAGCACCAGGAATACAGGTTCGATTCCAGCCTTCAGTGACTGTTTGTGTGGAGTTTGCGCATTCTCCCAATGACTGGATGCTCTGGTTTCCTCCTACAATCCAAAGATGTGCAGGCTAGGTAGATTGGCTATGCTAAATTGCCGGTAGTGTTCTGGGGTGTGTAGATTAAAGGGATGGGTCTGGGTGCGATGCTCTGAGGGACAGTGTGGACTTGTTGGGCCGAAGGGCCTATTTCCACACAATAGGTGTTCCAGGAGAAGGGTCTGAAAGTTTGCACAGGTATGTAAATCATTTCAGTGAATGGGCAAAAGTTTGGGAGACAGCATATGGTGTTGATAAACGTGAAGTCATCCATGTTGGTATGAATAACAGTAAAAAGTATTATTTGAGTGGTTAAAAAAAATGCAGCATGCTGCTGGGCAGGGGGACCTCTATGTCCTTGTTTATGAATCGCAGAAAGTTGGTTTGCATGTGCAAGAGGTAATTAAGAAGGCAAATTGAGTTTTGTCCTTCATTGCTGGAGGGATTGAGATTAAAAGAAAGTAAGTTATGTTCCAGCTGTATAGTGTGCTGCTGCGGTCACACCTGGAGTACTGCATGCAGTTTTGGCCTCCTGACTTGAGAAAGGATCTACTGACCCTGGAGGCGGTGGAGAGGAGATTGAATATATTGATTCCAGAGTTTAGGGATTGGCTTATGAGGAGACACTGAGTAGACTGGAATTGCATTCATTGTAATTTAGAATAATGAATGAGGATTTTATAGATACATATAAAACTATGAAGGGAATAGATAAAATGGAAGCCGGAAGGATGTTTCCAATGGTAGATGAAATTAGACCAAGAGGGCATAGCCTCAAATTAGGGAAATCAAATTTAAGATTGAATTGAGGAGGAAATTCTTCACCCCAAGGGTTATGAATCAATGGAATTCCCTGCGCAGTGAAGTAGCTGAATCTGCCTCATTGAATGCGGTTAAAGCTAAAATAGATTTTGTTTTTGTCCAGCAAATGATTTGAAGGTTGTGGTGAGAGGGTGCGTAAGTGGAGCTGAGGCCATGAAAAGATCAGCTATGATTTATTGAATGGCAGAGTGGGCTCGAAGGCCAGATGGCCTACTCCTGTTTCTGGTTCATATGTACTATGTTTAACACTATGGTGTTAACAAGAAACCTATTAAGGAAATGGGGAAAAAAGATGTTTTCACTTCAAGTGCGTTAAGAATATGGACCTTACTAGTACAAGTCTGATTGGAGTAAATACTATAGATGCATTCAAAATGGATGTGGGCAACAGGTGAGGCAGAAGGGAATAAATGCTTATGATGATATATTTATGTAAGGAACAACATGGAAGAGCAAGTACTGTATTGGCACCGGAATGGTGTCATTGGGTCAAGCCATCACCATAAATCTAATTCAAATTTTGCTAAACAACAACAAATACTGTGTAAATTGACGCAGTATCTATAGTTTAAAATTTTCAACTGCTACAGTGACAATCAATTAACATGATTGTGGCGCACGTTGTCTGAAATGATAACAGAAATGAAATGTCCATCAAGAAAATTAGTAAAGATGAAATTCTGTGTATATTATTCAAACTGTGTACAGTTTGTGATGAATTGAAATGGTCATTGGGAATATCGTGGTTGATTCTCTTTACACACATCACAGGAGGACTCGATTATTCAGGAAATGTAGAAAAAACTGTTTTCATTCAAATTGTGTTAAAAATATGCCATTTGTTATCACTTGGACTGATGGTAATGAATGCTATAGATGCATTCAAAATGGCTGTAGACAAACGTGAGGTGGAAGGTAATAAATACTTCTGGTTCTATTATTTATACAAGGAATGACATGGCAGGACAGGTAAAGTACAGGCACCGGAAAGCTCTCATTGTGTCAAAGAATTTTCTTGGTATGGTATATCTAATGTTAAGTATTATTGATTGTTTTTTATTTCACTCAATGTGTGTCAAGAAACTGGAACTTGCCAGCACTAGGACTGTTTGGAATGAAGAGTATGGATATATTCAAAACGGGTATAGCAGACATATGACTGATTGGAATTAATAGTATGGACTGATTGGAGTAAATAGTATGGATGCATTCAAAATGGATAAAGGCAAACGTATGATGTGAAAGGAAATAAGTGCTTATGCTAATGTATTTGTGTAAGGAATGTTTGGAATGAATAGTATGGATGCATTCATAATGGATATAGATGAACATGTGAGGTGGAATTGAATAAAGGCCTTGGTCTCATGGGTCAAGCAATTTTCTCTGTGTCGGATATCTAATGTAAATTATTCCTGAACAACAAGAAAGACTGTGTAAAATTGGCATAGTAAATATGTCAAGTAATTTTCTCTGCATCGTGTTTCTAACATAAATTCTTACAGGCCAACAACATTGACCAGCATCCAGACTTCAGCTCCTTAGAGACAAGTTTTAGGAAAGCAAAACATAACTGCGCTGGAAATCAGAAATACAGAAAATAAAACAAAAAACAAAGTGCTGGAAGACCTCAACAGGTGTAAGAGAATGGCGGAGATGGAAAACAGAGTTAACGTTTTGGGTCCAGTGACCCTTCTTCAGAAAAAAAACCGCTGTCTGACTCGCTGAGCTTTGCAAGTAATTTCTGTTTTCGTTTCTGATATTTTCTCATCAACTTGTTCAGAGATATTAAATGCAGCTGTGGGAGCAGGAGGAACTTGAATGCAGGCTTCTTAGTTCAGAGATGCACATTGAGCCAGAAAGGCCCATTTCAGCCTCCAGGATTTGAGGGATTCATTTGGAACCCATGGACAGTTCACAGCTGTTGCAATCAGACAGATGAAATTGGGTGACATTTAGGGAGAAATCGGGATTAGGATCAAGATAGTGGTGGAGTAGGACTCTTCAGCGGACCACGTCCGCTCTGCCCATTTCTGTTCTTTGTTTTTCTCCTCCCATGCTTTTTTTTGTTTTACTTTGTTCTCCCGACCTCCCGTCCTCGGCCAGCATTGGCAATATCCAGTGCAAAGCTAGCATGGTCTCCTGGCCTCCAGAGCATCAAGGTCAAGCGAGCCCTGCGTGTACTGGATGCTGGAGTAGACTCGCCTGCTCTGCCGTCTCTTAAGGGAAGGATGTTATTTCTGAAGTTTTTATTTCTTTATTCTTCGAATTTATTCTTACGATTTTGTACCTAGATACATTTCATACCTAAGATGGGGTGAAGGTCTGTAATGCTGAACTTCATTTTTTAAAATATATTTTTCTAATTTATTCCTGAGAGTCTGTACCAAGGTAATTTTGGATCTAAGTTTGCTCCATAAGAGATGAATTTGTAAACTTTTCACTGTACTCGTGAGTACATGTGACTATAAACAATTCGAATTCGAATTCCAAGTGAAGGTAAATGAGGATTGTAAGAACACGAGCCAGATGTGACACCAGAGATAAGTTAAACTTTATTACAGTTAAGAAGTATTTTCAGCCGAAGTTTTCAAGCATATAGGTTTCACTTTTCAGCACGAGTTGCAACGAATATTCTTGCAATTTGAAATCTCGCTATACATTTATAACTTGTGTTCGTCATAAGCAAACAATTCCTTTGTCACTGTTTAGCACAGTTTTCAAAGATCATGTAAACTACATAATTACAGAAATAGCTTTAAATATGACCTAATGTCCCCATTCGTATCAGTGCATCTCGACTCCAAAGTGACTCAAAATCAGGTTCCTTCCTGTTTTCCAGAGGTGAAGCTGCATCGTGCTTCACACCAGCCTCTGGTTCAGACAGGATTGATCTTTTGTCTTCAAAGGAAGGGTAATGTTGGTATTTTGCGGCACTTTTCTAGGTGCTTTGGATTTTCAGAGTTTGCATTATTTTCTGATCTCGGTACATGAGCTGAAAGAAAACAGAGAAACTGAAATAATTTTCTCTTACAAATTAACTATTTGAAAAACACAAAGATGAACTTCATTGGATGGATAAAAGCAAAAACTTCAGTGACATGTTTGCAATGCCACTCATCAGCATCTTCATTCAAATCAACAAATTAATTAACTCTTATCACTCAATTAAATCCACCTGTTAGATAATTCATAATTAAAACTGAGCATTATTATAGAGATATGATAACAGAGATTTACCAGAATGTTGCTGGAGCTGGAAAGTCTTAGTTTTAAACGCATAGATTGGAGTTGTTTTCCTTGGAGCATAGGAGACTGAGCGGGACATGGTTAAGATGTATACAATTATAAGGGTAAAGATAGAGTCAAAGATTCATGCAGCACGCAAATAGGCCCTTCAGTGCAACTCGTACATGTTGAATAATTTTCCCAAACTAAACTAAACTAACCTGATTAGCCTTTTTTTCTAATATCACCCTGAACGATTCCTATTCATGTACTTATCCCAATGTCTTTTACATGTTGTAATTATACTGCATCTGCCAATTCCTATGAGAATTCAATCTAAAAATGAACTGCCCTTCACCCTGTTTTAAATCATTATCTTCTCACCTTAAAATTATGTTCTTTCGTTTTGAAATCCTCCACACTCGGGGAAAGGCCTTCGACATTCACCTAATCTCTGCCTCTCATGATGTTATAAATCTCCGTAAGATCACTCGTCAACCTCCTACACTACAGTGAAAACTGTCCCAGCCTAACCAGCCTCTCCCGGGAAGGAACATTTCCCTTAGCTGAGGGGAACAATAATGATCAGAAAGTTGTTGGTAAGGAGCAGGAGGCTTACGGATGACGTGAGGGACCCTTTTTTTCTTTCTTCAGCCTGAGGGTGGTATGAAATTGAAACTCACTGTGTGTATGGTGGTAGAATCAGAAGCTCTCGTGATATTTAAGACATGTTTACATGTGCACTTATGATACCAAGACATAGAAAGCTATGCACCAAAGCTGAAAAATCCTGGCCTGCTATGTTCCTGCCGTTCCACACTTTGTTATCTCTGATTCCAGCATCCGCAGTTCTCGCTATCTCTTAGAAAACTAAGGCGGTATTTTTGGAATAACATAGACTCAATGGACTGTTGCACCCTTTTATGTGCTGTAAGCCTCTGTGACTGTAACTCTGAGACCTCTTGCAAACGTTTTGAAGTTTGTGGAACACATTGTTTCCTTTACATCCTGGCTGACAGCAATTCAGTGAGCCACAGGTTGCCTTTTGGCTCCGATGTGTTTGGATTTTTAATTCTAAAGTGTTCTTTCCTTCTTTTCCAGGCATCGTCAGTGCCAGCTGTACATCACAATGAATTGACGGTGAAATTGCTTGTGATGAATGAGAGTCTCAGTCACTGAACAGACATGCTTGCTTCTGAAAGAGACAGTTTTTACCGAACAGCCGAAATGGCCACCATTGTGATTGTGACAGGATCTTTAAGTTTGGTGACCATTATTGGAAACTTTCTGGTCCTGCTCTCTGTGAAAGTAAACAGACATTTACGAACTATTAACAACTATTTTATTTGCAGCTTAGCTGGCGCTGATTTGATTCTTGGGGTATTTTCAATGAATCTATATACCATATACACTGTGTCTGGGTATTGGTCTTTGAGTCCATTGATGTGCGAGTTCTGGCTTGCTGTAGATCACATTGCTACGACTGCGTCTGGAATGAACCTCCTTCTCATCAGCTTCGACCGTTATTTCTGCGTAACAAGACCTCTCAGTTACCCCTTGAAAAGAACAAATAAAATGGCAGTGATGATGATTGCAGCAGCGTGGGGGCTGTCTGTTGTCGTATGGTGTCCTGTCATTCTCGCCTGGCAGTTCATCGCAAGCGGCTGGGCAGTTAACGAGGGCGAGTGTTATGCACAATTCTTCTCAAATCCAGTCGTTGCATTTGTCATTTCAATAGCCGTCTTCTTTCTCCCCGTTGCCATCATGGTGGGTTTATATGTGCGCATATCTCAAGACAGCAAGAGTCGAATGAAGGAGGATAAAACAATACATGAAACAAGCAAAGGCACTACTACTCCCAGTCGAGCGAGAGGCAAAGTCGTGGACCCGAAATGTAACAAAACCTTAAACACTTCTAATGGGTTGGTGCACATCGAAAAGCAAAACGGTAAAATACCTGGTGAAATAGCAATCATGAATAAACTTTCAGATAATTTAACTTCCCCCAGCCTGATCCCCACAAACCAAATTAGGAAGGAGTTAATGAAAGAGAGAACTGTGCTCCCTGTTGTACAATGCACGACAGGCAAAGATGAACTCTCTGGCTTCAAGGTAATGAAATTGCCTCAAAAATATGACAACCACGATCACGTGTCAGGCTTAAAGCAAGACAATAGCGGCAAGAATGGGGGTGACAAACATATCACAGCTGTTCATGGGATCACTGAAATGATCAAGACCACTGTTAAGAAGAAGAGTATAACTGTAACGCGAGAAAAGACGGTGACTAGGACTATCCTGGCTATACTGCTGGCATTTATCATCACTTGGATCCCATACAGTTTCATGATGCTCACTTACACGTTCTGTCCAATCTGTGTCCCCAGCACAGCCTGGACAATTGGGTATTGGATCTGTTACATCAACAGCACCATCAATCCGGCCTGCTACGCCCTGTGTAATCAAACCTTCAAGAAAACTTTCAAGAATCTTCTTGTATGTCAGTGCAAGAATGTTGGAGCATCGAGATAAGAACAATAAGCTCCGCTCAGACATTAATACTTCAGATGTAGCAATGATGTTATATGCATGCTAAATTGAAATAAACATGTTCATTGTATCAGATTAAGCGGGCATCTGTGTGTTTTTGGAAGCAAATGTGAAATATGTCCAACATAATTATTATGATTGGTATTGCTGAAATATATCCTTGTTATTAGAATATATTCATGAGTGAACTAGAACTGTAATTCCCCAAGGTTCATGCAACATAAAATTGAGTATACCTATGTAAATTTAAAATGTTCAATTTACAGCATAGAGATAATTACAAGCGGACAGTAAGCTCTGTCTTTGCACTGGATGATATTGAATGTATCTTGGAAAAACAATGATTGTCGTGATTCTTGTGTGTGCACTATCAGTCAGTAATTTGCCACGCTTCTTTTTGAATCGATTATCCAATATTATGAAAGCAACAGTTGATGAAAGACAATATTTTCCCTTGACTTTCTAATAATTCATACCCATTAGATCCAGGCTGGTGCTGACATACTAAATCTATTAGTATACTGAATATCTGATTTTAACTGCATGAATTTCTGTCCTCAAGCTCAGAAAGAAAAAAAATCTTACACACGTAGCTGCTTTGAGTTTAGTTATCAGTGAACAGCAATAAATGACACTATGAATGTAAGTTGAGCTTGATTAGGATCTGCAGAATCTTGATATTTTTGAACTAGTGGAAGAGAGCTTCTAGCAACGTAAGTAATCAGTCAAAGTGTTTCGCCAAAAAAAAAAAACGAAATTAATGTTTGTGAAATGTTATTGTGTATTTCCAGAATGTAAGCTAATTCTTTTTTTCCCCATAGTTCAAGCTTTCAGTTGGGAACAAAACTCCCTCCCCTCTGGCATAAGAATCATAGTTTTGTTCTACAATAGGGATATGTTCTGCTATACTGTTGTCTGTAAAATGATAAACTGCTGTAAAAATAAAACTTAAAATTAAATAAAGCTTCAAAGAGGGGGAACAAGGAGAAGAGATGAAGGACCAGACATCATTTTGAAGAAATTCTTGATTGAAGAAGCAACTAAAATGGACTTTGTGACACTGTACTTTATTGTAAATGGGTATAATATTTGGCACTTGTTTTAGATATTGGCTTTTGTTCAAGACCGCAAGGCATGGAACATATTCAGGTCATTTAGTTCATCGTGATGCTCCACCATTCATTGAGATCAGGGCTGATCTTAAACTACTAATATATCAATGAAATGTACTTCGAGTTATGTAGTGAAAATAAAACTCTTGAATCATAGCCTGATTAAAGGCACGAACATGTTTTCATCCATGTCTATGTAGGTACACAAAAATAGGATATACAAATCTCCTGTGATCTCTGGCTCCTCTTCTACAATCTTTCCATCTTAGCATGAACACGGACCAGTGCAAAATAGTAGATGCTGAAAATTTCGATGAAAATCACGAAATGCTGTTCGGCAATTCAGGCAAAATCTGTGGCCATAGTGTTGATAAATAATGTTGATATTTGGCAAATTCAATCCACTGTTGGCTGAGAGACATGAAACATATCCTTTCAAGATGGCGGACTCTTCGGCTGGAGAGGTCTGCTCAATCTGTTTCTTTTTGTTTTCTTTATTCACGTTTTGTTTTTTTTTGTCCTTTGATGAAGTGACAGAGAAGATTAATGAAGGCAAAGAGGGAGACGTTGTCTATGCGGACTCCAGCAAGGTGTTTATCAAGGATCCGCATGGCAGACTGTTTAGCAATTTAAGATCACATGGAATTCAGAAGAGTGAGCCATTTGAATACGAAATTGACTTGAAGATAGGAGACAGTGAGAAGTGGTGGAACATTGTTTAACGGACTGGAGGCCTGTGACCATCGATGTGCCACAACGATTGGTGCTGAGTTAACTGCTTTTTGTCATTCATATAAATAATATTGATGTGAGTGAAGGATGAATGGTTACTAAGTTCTCAGACGACACTAAAATTGGTGATGTAGAGGACAGTGAAGAAGGTTATCTCAGAGTACAAAGGGACCTACATTAGATAGAAAATGGGTCGAGCAGTGGCAGATGACATTTAATTTAGATAAATGTGATGTTTTGCTTTTTGGTAAGACAATTCAAGGCAGGACTTGCATAATTAATGTTAGGGTGCTGTTAGGTTATGCCAGACAATAGACCTTGGGTTGCAGATTCATAATTCTTTGAAGGTGGAATCACATAAAGACAGGGTAGTGTAGGAGGCCTTTGGTACACTCGCATTTATTGGTCAATGCATTGATTATAGGAGTTGAATTGGCATATTGAGGCTACATAGGACATTAGTTTGACGACTTTTGAATTTCAAACGATAGGACAGACGTTGTCATATTTGAAAGGGTGCAGAAAACACTTAAAAAGATGTTGCAGGGCTCGGAGTGTTTGAGCTATAGGGAGAATCTGAATATGCTTGGGCAATCTACCCAACAGCGTTGAATGCCGAGGGGTGACATTATAGAGGAACATAAATTGATAACAGGCATGCATAGTGTGAATAGTCAAGGTCTTTCTTTTTCCCAGGGTGGGGTGTCGAAATCTAGAGGGGATATGTAGATGGTATGAGGGGGAAGATTTGAAAGTGACATACATTAGAATGGAATGAACTGTCAGAGAAATTGGTGGAAAGTGGTGGTCCTATTACAATATTTAAAAGGCATCTGGATGTGTACATGAATAGGAAGGGTTGAGAGGGATGTGGGCCAATAGCTAGCTACTTGGACTGGATTAATTTCGGATTTGTGGTCAGTATGGTCAAGTTGGACTGAATGGTCTGGGGTTTCCGTGCTGTAAAACTCTATGTCTCTATGTTCTATTTTGTGGTTTTCTTTTTCCCTTCTTTTTTCTCATCGATATCTGAACCTGGCCTCAGTATGACCGAGACTCTCAGCCTCAGTGTGGACCCGGTGTAGAGATCTCTTAGCCTGGCGTTTTGACTTCTCAGCTTAGTGTGCAATAATTTTGGTCTGGCGTGATGACATCTCAGACTGGTGTGGGAGTCTCCCGGCCAGCGTGTTGGTCTCTCGACGACCTCGTGTGGTAGTCCCTTGGTGGCCTGTTGAGGAGGTCTATTGGTGGCCCAGCGTGGTGGCCTCTAGTCGAGCTGGCTTGGCCTCAGCGTAGACTTCCAGCCTCGAGACGATTCCAGAGCAGCCTCCCATCTTCAAACCTCTCGAGTTAAATCCCAGCACGGTTTGCATCTAAGTCACCCTGCAAACCAGAGGCGAGGTGCCATTATGGATTATTTTGGAACTTTGCACTTCTGTTCTTTTTTCCCAATTTGCTCCTATGATCTGTGAAGATAAACTTTTTTATTTCCTTATTTTTCTAACTTTTTTCCGTTAAGAATTTGTAATTAAGAATATGTAACTAGGTACTTTTGTATCTAAGGAGCTCTATAAGTTGCGGTTGTAAAGTTTTCACTTTACTCATTTTTGTGTGTGTAACAATAAAGCTATTTCTAATTCTAATTTTAAGCAGAGGGTGATTGTTAAGAGTTGTTTTTCCAACTGGAAGTTTGTGTCCAGTGTGTTCACATAAGGACAGTTTTGGTTCCTTTGCTGCTTTGTTTCATATAAATGATTTGGACTTGAACATAGGAGGGTTTGTCGCTATGTTTTGCAGACAATAGAAAAATTCATTGGCGTGGTAAATGGTGAGCAGGATAGCCCACAGGTGACAGTGTTGTTTTCCTTACTGTCTGTGGTTTATGGAAATGATTTAGACTTGAACATAAGAGGATTTGTCACTAAGCTTACAGAAGATAGAAAAAAAAATCGTGGGCTAATAAAAAGTGAGAAGGTTGGCCTTAGAGTACATCAGAATGCAAATGCGCTCGTCAGATGGGCTGATCAGTGGCAAATCAAATTAAATCAGGATAAATGTGAGCTGATGTACTTGAGGAGGACCAAAAAGACAAGGAAATACATAATGTACAGCAAGGCCCAAGAATCACAGGAGCTTTCGTGTACACTTCTCTTTTAAGGTATAAGGTTAGATGGCTATCTTAGAAGACAAAAAAAAACAAAAAAACATCATGTTTAAGACCAGGGAGGTGATGCTGGAATTGGATAAGAGTTTGGTTCAGTCACAAGTAAAGAACTGTGTGTCATTCTGGAATCCACTATTTCAGAGGGATATGATGTACTGGCGATGGTGCAGAGAAGATCTGCCAATATGTTCCTTCACTGGAATGTTTTGGAAATTCAAAGAAATTGGATAGACTGAGGTTGTTTTCCTTGGAGCAGAGGTGATTGATGAAGGAGATGATGGGCGTTGTGTGGGGCATAGCGAGGATAGCTAATAGGAAGCTTTTACGCTTGATGGAGAGTCGAATGACCAGCAGGCATAGATTTAAGAGAAAGACATGAGATTTAGATGAAATGCAAGTAAAAAGTATTTCACCAAGAGGTTGGTAGGAATCTGGACCTGATTCCTTTTCAAGTGGTCGAGGCAGAAAAACTTGCATGGCATTCACTTTCCAATGGGAATTGAGAGACTGTTGTATTGTCTGCTTCAAAGAAGCATAACTCATTCTGACTACACCTCCCAGAGCCGAATAACCTGAAGACTTCTCAATTCACCAAATGGACTATTTGGCGTCCTCAGGAAAGGCAAAGAGGGGTATGGCATGCCTCATTATCAACACCTCCTGTAAAATTAGTCGTGGTGACTCTAATGAGTCACTGCTCCCCAGACCTAGTACATTTAACAGTGAAATACACTCCATGTTACCGTCTGTGTGAGTTCACCTCTGCTATGCTGACCGCAGTCTACATCCCATCTACATGAGACTAGTTCAGGTTAGGAAATGTATAAGAGCTAATTTATTGGTTTAGCTAGTAAAGTTCCGATATTGTAAACAGGAGATCTTAAGTTAGGGGTCTTGTGGCTTAGTTGTAATGTTCCTGATTTTGAGCCCAAACACCTGCTTCAAAGGTTTGTCTCAACACGTAAATAAGTGAA